AAAAAAGAAAAAATGAAAAGTTGAATGACTTCCCAATCTTCTTATCTCTACAAATGAGAGTTGCAGCATAGAGCATTAGACTGGTGTATATTTTTAAATCTAAATTCAATGTTTGTAACCTAAGTATTACCAAAAGTGAACAAGGAAAATATTTGAGCTATTCAGGTTTATGGCCCATAAGAGTGGAAAAAAATATTTGAAAGAGTTTTAGCAATCAATGAAGATTGAAATAGAGTCAAAAGAAGTGATTGTGTAAAAGATATCTTAAGTACTTTACATAATGATAATTACTGATAGATAAGATGAAGAAATAAAAAACTTTGAAGTTATATTATCAAATAAATGGTAGGTTCTGTTGGAAAAAAAAAATAGTTTGAGAGTTAAATGATACTCTTAATGTGGTGGACTACTTCACAATTAATAATAGCCTATTCTTTTTTTTTAATAGATTTTAAACAAATTAAAAGACAAAAAATCAACTTATGAAGAAATCCAACCATGTGGAATTTTTTCAAAAGCCTTTGATATGTCAAGAGTAATTTCCCTTCCACACAATTCATAATGGGATTTTTATGTTATAACTGTAAACAAGTCAGCTGTAGAACATGAGAATTAAATTCTGTCAGAGAGTTAGACTCCAGATGAGAAATCAGTGAAATAATAAATTTTAAAAAACAGGAAATGGATTTCTAACAATGGAATCTAATCTGTTTCTCTGGAATGACACAGAGTGATTCCATTAAATTAGAGTCAAATTAGAGAAAAGGATGAACACTCTTTTTGTTAATTACACTAACATAATTGACATATATAATAATATATATTTTATTCTATTCCCCACCCCTAGGCCACTATAGTCATAGAGGCATTTTTTTTTAAAATTACAACCCTTTTTTAAGTCTTTAAATCTGAAACACGAACCTTGACAAATAAGGCCATTTCACGGAGAAACTAATTGTGCACAGTACTATGCAGGACGTTCTGAGGATCAAACTCAAAACCTAAAATATAAAAGCTTCTACCGCTACACTACTAGTTGCTAAAAAAAGTTGTTTTTATTTATTTTACTATATATATTATTATTAAATTTTATTATATATATGTATGTATATATACGAAACGCATTGTCTTGGGGAATTATAAGGACACCCTAATCTTTACATTATCTTTAATGGAAAGTTTGGCAAATTAAAGTAGTTAAGTCACTAAACTATTGGACCAAAATGTAGAAATCTGCAATAAGAGATAATCAAATTTTTTCATATGTTATGTCTGTAATAGACATTAATTTTTTTATGTGAGTTTTATGTTCTCTACACTTAAAGCACATTTTAACATTAACTTTTTTTTCTTTCTTTTGAACTTGAAAAAAATTTAAAATTTTAAATAATGTTTAAGTTAAACATTTTAAAATTAGATTTAAATTTTTTCTTTTGATTTTTAAGGTAATTTTAAGGTTTATCAACCTGAAAAACCAAAACCAAAACCAAAAGTAACAAAAAAAGGTATCATTGTGATAAAAAAGTTATTAAAATAAAATGCACTGTCCTTTTAATATGCATTTTTTAAATATCTTTGTTTGCACATATAGTATATTTTATGCACATTTTTTTAATATATGTATATATATATATATATATATATATATATATATATACATATATATATATATGTATATATATATATATATATATATATGTATATATATATATATATGTATATATATATATATATATATATATATATATATATATGTATATATATATATATATACATATATATATGTATATATATATATATATATATATATATATATATATATATATATATATATACACACTTATTTTTGCAGATTTGTGCACCACCCTAATTTATTTAATTTTTACACTTTAAGTTGTAAAATTGGAGATGGTTATTTCAGTATGAAATTTTACGCAAGTTTAAATACAGAAAAATATTTTAAATTTCTAATTAATATCTAACAACATTCTACTAAAGTGTCAACACAAATTTGTTTGTAAAAAAACACCAACTTTTTTTCAGTTTTTAACGCAGAAATTTTTGTAAACTTTTTCAAAAAATTCTGTGTTACAAATTTACTTAAAACTATGGGTTTCTTGACCTAGGTCAAGAAACCCACTGTAGGTATCTAGATGACACAAAAGTCTTTCATACATCAATAACAGTATTTTAAAATTAAAACTAATAAACATCAACCAATTCAAATCTGTTTTTTTTTTAATTTAAATTTTTTTTTTTTTTTAAATTAACCTTTTTTTTTGGTTTAAATTTTTTTTTAAAGAAGTTATATTAAGTTAAATTTTTATTTAATTATAAGCAATGTGTATTTTACTTGAGCAAATTATCTTTCTTAGTCATGACAAAATAGTTTTTAGTGTTAAACATTTGCTTTCTAACACTTTTTTAAGTTGGAACGAAATGTTATTACGTTATTAATTTAAGTATTTTTAAACTGTGAACTAATAAATTTTGTATCTCTATTGCAACCTTTGCTGATTTAATTTGAGTTTAACAGGTTTTAAACAAATCCTGACAGTATTACCAATAACCATATCCATCTTTTAGCATAAATCCTTAATAAATGACTGTTTTGAAGATCTACAACATGTTTTCACCACATTTTATTATCATTATTATTTTATTTATGAACTGTCTTATTATTGTTCTCGTAAATTCACATTCATCAACTCAACCAGCAATAGGTGTCTTGTGTCATACTTATCTCAAATAAAACCACAATTCATCTCTTGTAACAAAATCAGGTAGTCTCCATAGATTGTTTCTGAATAGGAATAAATGTTTGTTATATATATCAACTTTATCCTTTTGATTAGTTAATTTAGTAGAGTATCATGTGTTGCATGAGGGTTCTCTTCAATAACAATGTACAATTGCTCGATATTCTTGAAAGTGTTCTCAGCGTTTGTATCTCTTTTTATCTCTCTTATTTTTATTTATCTCTCTTAATATAATGATCATTAGATGGTATTTTGATCCCCATTTAAGCAACCAAAATAAATATTTTCACAATAACTTGATGTATTTTAAGTTTTGTGGATATTGTGAACTCCAATTTCTTTAAAATAGTTGTATAATTTTATTATTACACACTTTTTTCAATACCGCTTACAGGGGCTATTCTAGATCGTTTTTGACAGTGCCAACCATATTTGGGTGCCGTTCAAAAATGGTTGGCGCCGGCATGGGGGTACCGCTGTCCAAATTATTTTTCTAGAATTTTTTTAAAATACTATTCTATTTTAATTCATTGTCTGTCATTATTTCAATAATAATTTATCAATATTTTTAATATATCAATAATTTAATCTAACATTCTAGAGAGGAAAATTAGATTTGCTGCTTATTTAATCTCCATTAACTGAATCCTCCATCATTAGTTGTTACTCCTTAAAATTTATGAGCCAAATAGGTAAAAAAGTTCATGAAATTTCTACTCCAGAAGCTGGTACATTTAGCAATCCTTTGATTTTTATTATAGTTCCAAAATCAAAAGATTTTAGATTTTTATTCAGAAGTATCTTTATTTTCAATTTTTTTCAAATGTATCTTTGTGCATTTAAATAATTACATTTATATTAAACATTTGCATAAAAGACATAATTAAACACAGCCCCTTCTTTTACTTCTCATTTAAAAATTTTTCTTAATTTGGCTTAAACCAGCATTTTTAAAACAGCTTAAATCATGGTTTAAACCTATCAATGTTTAAACCTATCCCTGAATGCAATTGAACATATAAAACATTGTGTCACAAAAATACCCCAACTGTAACAGCTGGTTCGATTTAACTTTAACAACTTTAACAGTCAGGTTGCAAATATATATATATATATATATATATATATATATATATATATATATATATATATATATATATACATATATATATAATCTATGTATTTCATATCAAGCCTTCAAAAAAATACTTTTTTTTTTGTAGGCTTGGTATTAATATTAATTGACAAAAGCAATCTTCAATAAAATAAAAAATTTAAAATGCTATTAAAAATCTAATTATTTATTTCGTCAAAAATTTATGAGACCAAAATGTAGGAAATTTTTCAAAGAATTTGCATGTTATTTTTTTTTTCAATATTCAGAAAGGATAGCCGGAGCTGTACCTTAACAATTCTTAGCTATGTGACTGAATCCTTATTGGCTCAAAAATCTTCTAGGTGACTGGGGCTATGGCTTATTGTTCCCTGAAATTCAATCTGTGGTGTATGACTATTTGAAAGAAATCAAATTTTGAATAAAGCAATCAAATTGCTTTATTCAAAAATTAAAAATCAAGTGGTACATGGGTTTCAGACTTATAAACTTAAATGTAAAGTACTAAGCATTTCAGCAGCAAGAGCGGCTTCATGCACCAACGAAAGGATGTAATTACACCATACTATTTCAGCTTTTTATAATCAACTAAATAAATATATGTATATATACAGTGGCACGCAAAATTTTCTCTGCCAAAGAGTTAGTCCATTGAACTAACCAAGTGGTTGATAAATTTTTTTAAACCAAACTTCAAACAACTTACAAAAATGCCAGTGTATTGTATAAGCCAAAAAATTTAACTGTGACAAAATTGTGTTCGATTGTGATCAAGGTACAAAACATTTTTCGGCTTTCGTACATGCTACATTGTGACTGCTTCTAGTTGGATGGAGGAGGATTAATTTTTACAATAAGTTTAATCAGTGTTCTTTTTTAAAAAAAATGCAAGTTGCAAAGGCTGATTAATTTTAACAGCTGATGATCATTTAGGTTTCTATTACAGCAATTCATCTATGTTGAAAGAATGACATGGAACTAATAATGTTACCATCCCATTCTTCAACAGTTTTTTAAACACTAGATTCAGGTGTTAACTGTCACATTAAAAATGTCTGACAAGCAAAGAAACGCTGATAAGCTGACGTTTTCTCTCTTGCTTTCAAAATTACATTCATTAGAGCAAGTTTTGAAAGATCACATGGAGTCAGTGATTTTGAAAATACAGGTCTCTATTCATTAAATCAAAATGCAGTCGGTAGAGAGAAAGTCAAGCTTTCAGAGCTTTTCAATCCACCAGCAACAATTCCACTAGCAACAACACAGTCAATGTCTTTTCAAATAGCATCAGCAACTTCATTAATGTCTTTACAAATAACACCAACAACTCCATCAACAGCATTTCAACTACCATCAGTTATCACTCCTCAATTAGATTGAGAAAAAACACATTTGACAAGCCAAATAAGAGAATCTCTTAAGGTACCTGCAAATAAGAAATCAAAAGCCCATAAAGCAAGTTAAAGTTGTAGCCAAAGTAAATCACAGAATCATTGATTTTTGAACAAATGAAGCTAGTAAAGAAATATTCAGAAGATATAAAAATAAGCCAAAACCAAAAACCAACAATTGAAGCAAAGAAAAGTGATACTTAACAGTGAAAAAGTTGAAGAAGTTGGCCATGACATGAAAAGAAAATTCAAATTTAGTAGAGAAATAAAGCAGCAAAGCAAAATATCAAAAGCCATTCAATATCGCGACAACTGATCACCAAAACTTTTGGTTGCAATGTGAAAAAGCTCTTGTCAAAAATGAGTTTGTGAAAAATGTCAACCCAAAAAAAGTACAGTAGAGTTTTATTGCTCAGTAAAATGTAGAAAACAATTTTTTATGTATTATAATTTGTAAACTAAATTTTTTTTTTCTAAATTTGCATGATGATATTAAAACTCTATTTTTAGTTTTTTCTCACTTGTTTAGAAATGTTAGATTGCTTTCATTTAACTGATTGTAAATGTGCACATTTTTTAAATTTTAAATAAAACATTTTTAAAATAAAATTTTGAAAAAAGTTTTATTTAAAAAAAATTTGTTATACATAATTAAGGTGGCGAAATTACCCCAACATAGATTTTATTGGGGTAATTTCAGCACCCTGTTTTTTAATGATAAAAATTTTTTTTTTTCCTTAAATTATATATATATATATATAATATATATATATATATATATATATATATATATATATATATATATATATATATATATATATATATATATATATAATATATATATATATATATATATATATATATGTATATATATATATATATATATATATATATATATATATATATATATATATATATATATATATATATATATATATATACAACCCTCAGAATTAGGGTCGGCATTTGGCAATGCTGGCCTAACTGCCGACCTCGTTTCTATGTTTTATGGTAACACCTTTGAATCAAATAATTTTTGCCGACCTGATGCCAACCTCTAAAAGATTGAGGTTGGAATTAGGAAAAATGAGGTTTATTATTGCTAACCTCATTTTCTAATTCTGAGTGTTTTGTATATATATATATATATATATATATATATATATATATATATATATATATATATATATATATATATATATATATATATATATATATATATATATATATATATATATATA